AAAACCTCATTCTTAATGAAAGATTAAGAAAATCATTGGAATTTGAGACTCAAAGAGGAAAAATGTTAGTGAAGACGATGACATTATTAATAAACGGACTGGGTTATATGTGAATGTGACCTAACAGCTTCAGGAAGCATGCCTGCTTCCCAGTGGCACCTAGAACAGACCACACTAAGGCACACAGTAGGTTCTCAAGGCATATGTACTGCATAAATGTATGAGCAGATCGAAATCTGAAGCCCACTTAAGCCCTGATGAAGGCATGAGGTTTTTAACTGTTTCAGAATTTAGATAACCTTTGAGAGTTTAATCTGCATTTTCAAGATATAGCTTCTGATGCCTCATGTTTCTTCTGGCTTGCTTGTGTTTGCTATCTTCTTCAGTTCGTGACAGAAATTGGTATTCATGTGGAAAGAAATCAGAATATAAAGAGCAGCTCTTTGTTTCAATTGAACATTAAGTTTTAAAATGAGTTAAAAAATGAGTCAAAGAAAATTTGAACCTCTGAAAACCAAATAAGCTAGGACATTTCTAAAAAATTAAAAAAAATTTTTTGTAAAGTATTTTAAAATAACCATTATTTTCAAATCAGTTTTACAAATATACTGACTGGAGGACAGCTAATCTACATGCAGAATATATCTGTTGCTGCAATTTAAGTGACAAAAGTTAAAAAACTACTCATATATATGTAAATACATACACGCACATACATATATACTTCATTTCTTAAAATGTCTTTCTGGGTTTGTTTTTTTTTCCAAAATGCACCCGTACAAGAAACTGCAGTTACTTCTTGTTATCCAAAACCAAAACAAAAACTTCACATTTTCCCATGGTTTCAAATGTTTATGATGCTTTAAATGTCTGTGTATGTGAGAGTGTATAAACTATATGCACTTCAAGAGCACACATTAACTCATTTTAGGAGACTATACATGAACTAGGCTTAACTTTTTAGTTACGGGCATAACTCTGAAATTATTGTTTACAATAAGTTTTTTTCTTTTGCACAAAGGAAATTTCAGAATTCATAAACTTATTTTCTTCTAAAGACCTACACCAATATTAATATTCCTTAGGGATATAACTAAGTCAATGATGTGCACATTTAGAGGGCAAATGATATTTTTATCTCAACATTTTATAAAAGAGATAGATAAATTAACAACCTCTAGAGAGAAACAGTGTTTAAATTTCATCTGTTTATGTGCTGCTTAATGCTGGCAGTACTGCTGAACTGATGATCTGTGTCTACATATTGTAAAATAACAGTAATTCTGGATGTGATATATGACACAGATTTCCATTGAAAAGCATTGACATCTTGTGATAATGGCACAGGGGCCCAAGGAATTTAAAGGTAGGAGGTCAGAAGATGAGTTGATTTGTCTTACTGGTAGGGAGTAATTATTCTCAAGTTCCTTCCAGTAATGGTCATAGGTAATGACCCTGAGAAAAAGACTTCTTAGATGATTCTTACCTCTTTTTCTTTCTGGACCCAACTCATTCAGTTAGGAGCAGAAAAGAGAGTGATGAGTGTTAACAGCAATAGAGGTAACGTAACTGGGGAAGGGGAAAAAGGACAGATGAAGGAAGAACCAAGAATATACCAGAGAACCTAATGGCAGCTGTGGTTGTGCCCATACAGTGGGCACTGTTAGTAGGCACGATGCAGTTGTCTAGTGAGTATTTGTGGAAGCTGAACTTGAAACAAGCCTTAGAAGGGCCTTCCCCACCCCCACCCCATCCCTGATCCATTCACTTTCCCTGGCCTGACAGTCATGCACAAATATTTTAATAGCAATGCTTTGCATTTAGAGATTAAAGGACTTATACAAGTGCTGTAAAAAGAAAAAAAAATCAAGCAAGCATTGTTTGGATGTACATTAGCCAAGGAGCTCAGGAGGGGAGACGTGGGCAATCCCTGTGATTAGTCTTGAGAAATTCTCTTCCCTCTTCCACATAGCCCTGCTCACTGTGCTATCTTGCCCAGTCTTGTTCATTTCTCTACTCCCTTCCCCGATTTGTAAGAAGGCTCATTCTCACTGTTTACTTATACTATCTCAAACATCATTTATCATTTTATTTTACTTCAAAGCATCCCAAGAGAGTGATCATACAAATCTAAACTCCTTTTGTAATCTATATTGACACAGCTCTACAGATATAGACTCAAATACATGGCCACATCAGTGTATTAAGACATAGCTGCACCTGTATGAGATAACTTACACTTGTTTAAATGTTAGGAATAAGTCAAAAATGTCTTCCTTGCCATCCACATACTGTTGTTAGCTAAACAATATAATTCTTTCTAATCAAATAACCACTGTGAAATACCTGATTCACTTTGCACCCAACAGCTGGGCTGTAGCTTGTGTTCCCAGTCAGAGCTGAACTCAAGCACAATAGGAAGGGCAGAAACAGCTGCAAACTCTTGGGAGAAAAAAATTTGCAAAGCAACTTTGCCATTAGGCTTCAGGGTAGGAAGGAAGTAAAATCATTTTTCTGTTCCTTTTCATGTGTGGCAGCTGTCTTTGGTAAAAAAAATATGTCCATTCTATTTTGTAACAGAAACGCTATAGTATTTATTAAAATGTGAGTTGTACAAATGTAGGCTGGCCACAGATTTAGCATAAGGTCCAGTCAAAATATTTACAGAACTTGGTAGGAAGTCACTGCTCTCGCGGATCTAGCTGGAAGGAACCCTATCTTGCCCCTACTCCTAACTACTCCTCCTTCCGCCACCATTATTAGCTGTAAACCAACTGGATTTCAGTGGAGTTGACTGATTCTTCAAATGCTTTAGGTTTTTTTTTATACAAAATTTAATGGAATGGGATTCTCATGCAAGTGTCACAGAAATTATAGCTCTTTGTCTGTATGCACTATCGTTGCCAGGTAAATGTTTTCATCTCCTCTGACAAAATTTTATTTCCTTAATGACAGGTTCTGTGTTTCCTTTGCTTAACTCATTTGCCTACTAGAGCAATTGTTAATAGGGTCTCGATACATACTTGATGACTTAAAAGCCATCTGATTTAAGAAAATCAGTAACAACAGGACTTTTCATGAAATAAGTGTCTATTTTCACCTTTGATTTAGGATGCACACTTAATGGCACTAGACAGTTTCTTTTCTACACCTGGTAGGAGACAAGAATACATTTGCTATAGCATTTCTGTTATAATGACTGATACATGATCTATCCTTTGAATGCTGTGGACTCTTATTAAAGCAACTTAATTAAAAATGGTATTTCATTAGAACTTCAGCATCTGGAAATAGATGAGGAACTTTTGGATGCTAAAATAAACCAAGAGATCTAAAGTGATTGTAGAAAGTGCACTGGTATGACCTGGATTGGAGAGATAATGGACAATTTAGAAAAAAGAAAAGCAGAAATAAAGACACTGGGAAGCAAGCCATTATTACAAGCACATTAGGAATTCAACAGAGGCTAGCTTCTGTCATGCTCCTTCAAATTCTTTGAAATTTTATGCAATACCATTAATGTAAATTAAGACTATGTATAAACACAAGTAATACTACATATTTTACAAGGATATAGATACAAGCATGTTCAAATACATTAGAGGGCATGTCATTACAGGACTGGGCTTCCCACCTTCAGAGTTTAAGAAGTTAAGGATAAAGACAGGTGAGGTGAGTACGTAGCACACTAGACTGCAAGATGGGGACTAGAGGCTGGGAGAACATAGCCATGAGGCAATAGGAGTAGGGGAGACTTGTGTGGGAACATTTAGGTGACAGTATCATTGGTTTTATCTTTTTTTGGGGGGATACTGATGTTTGAACTCAAGGGCTTGTACTTGCCAGTAGGCGCTTTATCACTTAAGCCATGCCCCCAGCCCTTCTATCATCAGTTTTGAGCTTTCTAGGTTTTATTTACGTGACTGAAAAAAAATCCTACTGTGCCCATTAGTACAAAAAAGAATGTGAGTCACAGTTCTTAAACTATAGCAATGACCAGTATCCAGACTGCTTTAAAGATCGTGCTAATTTCTAAAAGTATGTTTTATAAAAGAATATAGAGATAGGACGTACAGAGGGGCAAATCAGAGGGAAGGCTCATCACCCTCAGCCGGTTTACCACAAATGATTGCTTGATCAGGACATTAACTACCTTAGACAACTATGACATAACCATCTCTCTTTACAAGAAATTTCTACTATTCCTAGAGGCTCAATACTTCCGTAGGCATCACTGTCATTCACATTAATCAAGAATCTGTTAGTGAATTCATGTTGAAAGCACCAATAACTATTAAAGCAGTAAAATAAACCCAACACTAGAGCATTTTAATTTCTGCAAAGTGCTATGATTCTTGTAGCTAGGAAACATGGTGACTTTAATAGAGTCTGAAATGTGAACTTTTATTGTGAGGAATATTGTTGCTAGCCATTAAAGGCATTTCTTGATAAAATATGCTACTATAAGTATTTGAGCTTCTTTATATCTGCCCCAGAATTCTTCAGAATCAGGAGAGCCTAAGTTACAATGGGATTTTGATGATAACGTCCCGTGCTAACTCCTGCCAATACTTCTCAATGATGTGAATGTTTCTTCTCATGGAGACACACGGTTTACACAATAGCTCTTCTTTGATCCTCAGCTTCCCTTGGAATAGGAAAACATCGCCTGGAAGTGCTTTAATTGTTTCATTTTTACTTTCCAATCATGTGATAGAAGTTATGAATGGAAAAAAAAAACCCAACAACCAAACCATTCCAGACAAGAAAATTAAAGCAACTACATTCAAACCGAAAATTAAAAAAAAAAAAACTAACAAAAATAGGCCATATGCTTCATAAAAAGTGAACCAGGCTCCACTGTTTGGCTTTTAGTCTGTATCTCCAGTTTCTACTGTGATTTGCATTTTATAGTGTTTGCAAATACATTATTGCAAAAACAAAAACAATCTGCATAACAGGAGATAAAGCAGATAGAGACACTCTCAGAAACCACCTACCTGCATGAAGCGACCCTCTGATGTTCCAAGATTAGCAATGGTGAGGTCTCCTTTAATGAAAGTAGATATAGATGTTAAGAGCACTTGGTTGAATTGACCCATGAATAAGTCAACGCGCTGCAAAGCCGTGGTAAACTCTGTTCGATATTCATCATTGCGCACTTCACAGCCTGACGAATTTCTCAGAAGTGTCTGGAATAAAATATGGGCATAGAGTTAATGTGAGCCCAGATGCAAACAAGCTGGTAAGAAACTTTTCAGTGTGTCTTTTCAGAGTTTGGAGGTGAATGGCAAAGATAACTGTGCGAACAGACAAATAGTCCCAGATAGACATAATTTCTAGTAACTGAAAAGGCTCGAGTTTTACTGGGCACTGCTGGATATGCATACACTGCAATACATGTGGCAAACACTACTAAAACAACTTGCACTGTAGTTCAAATATGTGCATACATAAAGATGGAAATCAGCAGGTGCTATTAAAAGGAAAAGAAAACTTTGTCTCATTCATTGACATAAATGCTTCTAGCAGGCAAGTCTTATGAGATGAATTTCAGCTAGAACAATAAACACTAGAATCACACTATGTCTATCTTTTAAAATTTGTGCATTTTTACATTTTTGGGCAGAGTGGCAATGGGGAATAGTGGTTAGTGGATAATTCATTGGCAGAAAGCAGAACATAGATGCAAGTGCCTGCATCAAATCCTAGTCCCAAATGCTTACCAGCTTTGTGTAATTCCTACAGAATTTCTGTGTTTAGAAATTCACATAATCTTTGTATCATTTCCTCTATCTGTAGAGAGTATTACAGAAAAATCTCTACCTTACAGAGTTGTTGCAAAGATTAACTGAGCTTTTAATATAAATCTCTTACAACAGAAAGAATCACATGGAGAACACTACTTCTGTATTTGTCATAATTGGGCGAAAGTCTAAAAAAACCCTATCTAGTAACCAGCTTCTGGTAAGACAATCATCAATCTGGTAACCTTTAAATTCAACTTCAAGTGGAAGAAGTTTTAAAATATTGCTCAATAATACATGACAAACATGGAGAATCCCTCCCTTCTACTTGGTGCTTCAGTCTCCTGGTTTTCCTTCTACCCCTCAGACCACAGCATTTATGTCTCCTTTGCAGGACCGCCCGGGCATGGCTATCAATGTCAGGACCTTCTCAAGGATGCATCTGGGGACCACTCCTCCATATGCTCCTCATACCCTCCTCTGGCAGTGTTTCTCCCAGGCCGTCTACTATTTAGATGGCACATACGTCTGTATCTCCATTCACGTGTCTCAGAGATCTCAGACCTGACATGACCAATCACCCCCTGCCTGATCTCAGACATTAGACACCCCAGTGAGTGGCTCTACCATTTCTCCAGCTGCACGAGTCAGAAACTTAAGTGGCATCCTTGATGACCCACTATATCTACCCATTGTCAGGTGATCTGTTCTCTACACTGCAGCAGAACCTTTTTCTTAAATCCAAATCCAGCTGGGGATGTAGCTCAGTGGTTGAGTGTTTGCCTAGCATGCCCCATGGATGCACATGATCCAAATTGATCATGTGCCTCTATCTAAAACACTGAATGCTTCCCCATTGCTCTGAGGACAAAGAGCAATGGACTTTGCCTTAACTGACCTCTTTCCAACTTCTGCTCACTAGGTCTACTTTCAGTTCTCCACATATGCCAAGTGCCCTCCCATTAAAAGCCTTGACATATGCTCTTCTTTTCCTAGGCTGCTCCCCCTACTTCCACTTACCTTGTTAACTCCTATACCCTTTAAACTTTAGCTTATCACCATTCCGTCAGGAGGCCTGCCCTAAAATCAAGGTCAAATGCTCCTTCAATAGAGTCTCATGATAACTTTTACCTATGTATCACACAGAGCATAACAGGTATAACATAGTTATAGCTCCAACTTAACATTTGCTTTTGCAATTATAAGATAACATGACACTTCTGTTGCAATGGGCTCTCCACCAGGGTCAGGACCCTGCTCTTTCACCACGTTATGGCTAGTATTAGACTAAATATTACACACAGTAGATAGCTAATAAGTATTAATTGAATGAAAGAACAAATAAGTGAATTAATCACAGGTAGATAGTGATGTGTGTGGAGATATGAACCAATACTATTTAAGTTTTTTTTTTCAGGAATAAGGTAGACAAGCGTTAATGAAAGGCGAATAGAGTGATTGGGTCCCGACTGTCCTGAGGATAGCTGGGAACTGGTAAGTCTGGTGCAGATATTGGGGACAGGAGGGTGTATTAAGAAAGAAAATGAGAGAAAAAGTTCATTTTCCCACATCTTTGTATATAGCTACAAGTCCAGAAAAATGTTTTGGAAAGTTAGAAATTATTAGAATATTTCAAAGCAACTTAAGAACAAATTCAGTTATCCTGACTCCTTAAGGTCAACCATCTGTCACATGAAATGCAAAGTTCTTCTACTGACTTTTACGGTTAAAAAGTTCTGTTCCATACATTAACAACTATATCTTTTGTGGTACTAGGGTTTGAATTCAGGGCTTCAAGCATGCTAGGCAGGTGCTATACCACTTGAGCCACTCTGCCTGCCTGTAAAACTATTTATTTATTTTAAATGGCAATAAATTAGCAAACTAAGAGTGTTGGAGATGCTGAACATGACTCTTGTAATTCATGTTTTAGTCCTAGATATTTATTTTGATGTATTCATGAAAGCTAGTTCACTATTTAATTAAAAGCTTTCCTTCACTAAAGTATTATAGCTTATTCTGAGGAATAGCAGATAACTGAGATGTACCAGTAACTCTGCAGGAATCGATTAATTGATAATTAAGTTTCTATTGGTGATCAATGATCCACTTTGCAGATAATCAGAGCCAAGGGAAGCTGCTTAAAGGAGCAAAGACAAATTTTAAATCTAAGGCCACCTAAAGTGCTCCATTCCAGAAGTGGCTGCTCTTCAGGACCAGACTTCTGTAGCTGTCTTATTCCTTCTTTTGCTAGTGCCTACTCTTTTTCTTTACATCTAGGTGGCATACTGGAAATTGTAATGACTATATCTTGACATAGGATACAGTATTACTGTTGAATTCACTTGGATATATAAACAATTTGCTGTGTGTGAAGCTGTCTTTGATTATAAACTACTGCTAGTCATCTATCAAGAGGTCAGGAACCATCTTATTATCTTTTATCCCCAAGGCCTGGTACACAGCAGGTATTTAATAGAACACTTGTGGAATAACTAATGTTTCTGCAAAGCTACCAGATATAAAGGCCAGCTCTTCCCCACTTTGCTTTGTGGTCTGCCTTGGTGAGTGGAGTCAGCAGGGAAGTAGAGGTGAGATGATCTCTAAGTGTTCCTCATAGTGCCCACAAGGCTGCAGGAACTCACTGATCTGTTTTAAGTGGAGACAGTGATACAACTAGGGCTTTTACCTATATGCACCTGTTTCTACACATATAGCGTTAATGTAATATTTATATTTTATACTTCCTGGCTTTTGCATTGGGGAATAGAGAGGTCCCCAAACAGCACCTCTTGAAGGACTAATGGGATTGAGCTATGTCTCTACTGTTCCCCAACACAACTGCATTGTACAATGTTGGAGCAGGATCTACAGATCTTGAAAGTTTACATAATTTGGAGCTAAAAACCTAACATCATGTCAGGTTCAAGGGGCATTCATAAAACAGGGAATCCAGACCTTTTTCTTTTTCATTTTTCTCTCTAGCAGAGATCAGCAGAGAAGGGAGGAGCACTGGCTTCAGGAAGAAGTAATAATCCAGCATTTGCTTATCTCTTCTCACTGAGAATCCTGATCAACTCAATGACTGGGGCCAGAATGGCAGGAACTGGTTTACAGAGCTTTATGCTGCTTTTGAGCTTTAACTATGGAACCTTCTTAGGAGCCTTGGTTTAACTCTCTCTGCCTTGCAAAGGAAAAGCCATGTGTCAATATGGCTGTCTCTCAGTCTGATTCACCATATCCCTGAAAGATACCAAGTGAAGATTTTTACTGCTCATCAGTGCAGGGGAAGATGGGTGGTTTAATTTTAGTACTTTAAACACTGTTCCTGGGGCCCAGCTAGAGGTTCTCTCACTTGCTCCCAGGGGTTTCTTTTATGCATCTTTCAAAGCCAAAAGTTCCTGTACCTTGAGTACAACTGAACATAGCTGGCAGAAATCAGTTCTTTGGGATAGTAGCTACTTTGGGGAACTGCAGCAGTCTACAGAGAAGAAGTAGCAGGAGGAGGGAGCCAGAATAACTATAGGAACAAAGAGAGGAAGAAGGAAGGAAGAGAGGGAGGAAATCAGTCTTTACCCTGTACCCACAATGTGCCAGGCATTGAGCTGGCATTTTCACATACAAGACTCACAGCAGCCTGAGGTTTGTCACACTCAGGGCAGCCAAGGGCTGAGTCACAGCACCCATTTTTAGTAGACCAGGCCTCAGAATGCAGTTCTCTCTGATTCTCAAGCTTGTGAACTTCTTTTGTTATGGGTTACTATTTTTATTATTCTAAGCAGTTTTTTGAAATTGTACAACTACAAATACTTGCAAGATTATCTTATAGTAGGGGTTGTGGGTGTAGCTTAGTGGAAGGGCACTTACCTAGCATGCACAAGGCCCTAGGTTCAATCCCTAGTACTTAAAAAAAAATCAGTTCCTCATTTTAAGGCTGGAATCAGTAATTATTTTCTGGATAACAGAAGAGAGATAAACACAGGCATTTTGGACTGTACTGATCAGCTCAGCTCTTAAGTTTAGCTCTTCTTATTGCCTGTTTTAGTTAATGACCATGTCCGTGCATGCATTCAGGCAACTTTGAAATTTTATTTATCACCAACACCTCTTCCTCTAACATTTTCCACTCCAATCAGTTGCAAATTCTTGCTTCTGTCCAGTGCTGTCCCGTGGTATCCCCTGCCCTTGCAGCCACACCTGTGTACCGCTAGGGGTTTCCTCACTAGTACTTCTGAATCTCATCTTTTCAAGACCTTAATTGCTTCCTAAAGGCCTTCAGGAAAAGACTAACCTTTTTGTTGTTGTTGTTAAGTTTCTGAGACAGGGTCTTGCTAAGTAGCAAGGAGCTCAACTTGAGCTCCTTCTGCCTCTACCTCCTGAGTGTCTGTGTACCAGCACACCTGACCCATCCTTCTTAGTACAGCATTCAACTCTGCTTCCATTTG